ATGTGCATCTGCAACAGGTCTCCCCGGATCAGCAGGTTCTGATTGCGATTCACGCGCTCAGAGATGAAGCCGCCAGCTTTGCAAGGTCCCTAGTTCGCGCTGCCAATTGCAGCGATGACCCCGTTGCGTACTCCTCGTTCACTTCCCTCACTGAGTTCTTGAAGCTGTTGCGCGAGAGGTTCGCCGATGTCGCCCGTAGCGTTAAGGCCTCAGACAGGCTGCAGACGATCCACGCTCGTAAGTGGAAGAGCGCCAGGGCACTTAAGAGTACCATGGACGAACTGGTAGCGATCCACGCTCGTAAGTGGAAGAGCGCCAGGGCACTTAAGAGTACCATGGACGAACTGGTAGCTGTCCCTGACCACGGAGTTACAGATACCCAGTTGGTTGGCCTCTTTTATCGGGCTATACCCGAAGCCCTCCGAGGGCATTTCTTCGCAAAGAGCGAAGACCCTGCCACTACATACGATTCCCTTAGTCGCGAAGTAGTGGCTTTTGAAGCCAAGTCTGCGTCTGTGTCCACTTTCTGGCACAAGGACTTGGACAAGGGTAAGCAATGGAAGGGCCGCACTATCTCAGGGCAAGTAAAGACCAAGGACAGTCTTGTCCTAACCTTAGATGAGGGTAGTGTGGATGAGATCCCCTACGACCAGATTGAGTGGGGGTTAGAGGAGGAGGACAACGGTGTGGGCCAAGGGAGATCTTACGCTGCTGTCGCGGTTGGAGGGAGGCCGCAAGGAGGAAGAGGCCAGGGCCAAGGGGGTCGGGCCTCAGGGAACCGATTCCAGGGCGATCAGGAGGTTGGCGGCAGAGGAGGAAACCGCCAAGCGGGAGGCAGGGGTCAAGGTCCCCCGCAAAACCGTCCTGGGAATAGGTCTCCCTATAGAATAAGAGGATGGCACCCAGGGCTACCTCAGGGTAGGCCTTGGGAATCTTTGGGTTTGGACCAGGCTTTATGGTAACAACGATTGGACCGGGGCCAGTGCATTTTCTGCGGTGACCCGGGCCATATCATCAAATATTGTCCTAAGTATAAAGAGACCCGAACGGCTGCCCAAGGGCCAAAAGGCAGCCGCCGGTAGGGGTAGCAACTGCCCCTACCATTAGGCCATGTGGGGAACATAGCGCTAGCCGACAGGAGACTCCCACACCACATGTGCCTATGGCAGAGGTTGCAGGCCGGTGTCTAGACAGCTGTCCAGAGACTGCTTGTGTCAGGGTCTCTTTAGACACCTCCCTCACAGGCGTGGCCGAAGAATTGAAGGAGAGGATGCCCGCCTGGGCCAAGATGAAAAAACAACAGAAAGGACAGCTAATTCTAATAGATGTAGAGATTTTAAGAGGTAGAGTAGGGGCCCTAGTAGATTCAAGGGCTACCCGCAGCTATATTAGTATGAAGGTGCTGCAGAAGTTGAAGCTGGGGCTTAAAGTCCAAAAGCTAGCAGATCCCATAGTTAGTATCCTCGCAGACAATCATACTATGGTTGTAGAGGAGTATGTAGAGGGAGTCCAGGCGTATTTCCGCCTAGAGAAAGATGGGAAAGTGGAGAAGGTCCTCCACTCCCTGACTCTCCTCGTAGAAGACAGCCTCCCATTCGACATTGTTCTGGGAATGGATTGGGGAGAGGCAGTCGGGGCCACGCTCCATTTGAAGGAGCACGAGTGTAGGCTCCCTAGTTCTTCAGGCAAGGCTAAGACTGCCCGCCTGTTCCATGTGTCAGGCGTAGAGAATTCCTTGGCACATTGTAACCTGAGCGCGCCCGCATTCGCCAGATTGGTGAAGAAGGAGAAATTGGAGGAACAGGTCTTTGTCGCCTATATTAGGCCAGTGACCGAGCCTAAGGAAGAGAAGCCCGTAGACCGTACTATTGCCAAATTGTTGGAAGTGTTTAAGGATTTAACTAAGTCGTCGACAGGCACGGTGCCGCGGCCCATCCAGCACCGTATTGAGATAGAGCCTGGCAGTAGAACTCCTAAGGGTGYTGTATATAGGATGTCCCCGCGGGAGTTAGAGGAGCTACGGAAGCAATTGGACGAGCTCCTCGAAAAGGGTTGGATTAGGCCCAGTTCGTCTCCTTTTGGAGCCCCTATTCTCTTTGTCCCTTAGAAAGAGGGAGAGCTGAGGATGTGTATAGACTATAGGGGTTTGAATGCTATTACAGTAAAGAATGCTGAGCCACTGCCTAGGATAGACGATCTCTTAGATCGAGTGCAAGGGGCCAAGTACTTCTCTAAGATAGACTTAAAGTCCGGATACCATCAGATAGAGGTACATCCTGATGATCAGTATAAGACAACCTTCCGGACTAGGTACGGGCATTATGAGTTTATAGTGATGCCCTTTGGACTAACCAATGCGCCAGCTACGTTCCAGCGTTGTATGAACGATTTGTTTAGGCCATGGTTAGATAGATTTGTTGTAGTGTACCTAGATGAYATTCTAGTGTTTAGTAAGACCCTCGACGAGCATCAGGGTCATCTCAGGCAGGTCTTGGAGAAGCTGAGAGAAGCTAACTTCAAGATCAATGCGAAGAAGTGCAATTGGGCGAAGACCCAAGTTTTGTATCTAGGCCACGTCTTAGACGGAGACGGCATTAAGCCAGAAGATAGCAAGATCGCAGCGATAAACCTGGCGCGCCCACACACTCTCTACGCTAGTCAAGCATCCTGTCAACGTAAATTACAACCGCAGCCGCGCCTAGCGCGGTATACTTAAACTCTAGACCAAAACTATTTTCTGTCACTTGCAAAAACCAGGGCCGATACCCTTGTCAGGGTATTCGCCCCGACAGCTTACCGGATCATATTAAGCGACGTCCCCGTCGCTTCGCCAAATCAGAAAGCTATAAATCCATCCATACTCCAAATTCTGACGAAACAGGAGCCAATCCGATTAGCCGACAAACCCAGGGTAGAGGCCTCCATCAAACCATGCCTCGTACAGCGACGTCGAAAATCGTATGTGCCAGGACATTGAGGAAACCAGGCCACGAAGTGGCAACAGCATCAGAAGCGCACTGCGTACTTAATTCAACCCAGAGAGCATACGGTGGAACCGGTGAACCATTCGAATCTCTTTTCGAATGGGGCAGAGGGCTCGTAGTACCTACCACACTTCGCACCTACCGGCAGAGGGGAAGGAGCCTAAATCGACGGACTAGAGTACGTTCATGTGCCCAAGCTAGCGTTTCGATCAATTCTTGCCAATAACCACGCCATGAAATAAGGAACATAAAACCTGTTGCCCATATAAGATGGCCAAATAAGAACATCCAAGCCCATACAGATAAACTATTCATTCCAAGTGGATTATAGCCATTAATAAGCTGAGATGAGTTTAACCATAAATAATCTATCTCCTCCCTTTTGGAGAGCAACATCATTGCAAACTCTGATATTGCCCGTACAGGCTTTAGAGATTGGCCCACGCCACGTAAGGTGACAGAGTTGCGCTCGTTCCTGGGCTTAGCAAATTACTACAGGAAGTTCGTGAGGAACTGATCCACCATCGCTGCGCCCCTTCGCAGATTGCTAAGAAAAGAGACAATCTGGAAGTGGGACAAGGACTGCACGTCTGCCATGAAGAAGCTAAAGCAGGCGTTGATAGAGTACCCGGTCCTTAAGKTCSCCGATCCGTYCTTGCCTTTTGTCGTTAMTACGGATGCTAGCCAGTACGGCATAGGCGCAGTGTTACAGCAAGACRATGGCAATGGGTATAGACCCGTAGAGTTCATGTCCGCTAGAATGMCTTCAGAGAAGGTCGCRACATCTACCTACGAGAGGGAACTCTACGCTCTCAGGCAAGCCTTAGACCACTAGAAGCACTACTTGCTTGGGAGGCACTTCAAAGTCTATTCTGACCATGAAACGTTACGATGGTTAAAGACGCAGGCCAAGATGACACCTAAGCTTACTAGGTGGGCCGCAGAGATAGATCAGTACGACTTTGAGCTCAAGCCTGTCAAAGGGAAGTACAACATAGTCGCGGATGCTCTGAGTAGAAGAGCTGATTATTTTGGGGCAATAGTACATTACCTCGATATAGGAAAGGATCTGCAGCAGCAGGTTAGACAAGCCTACGCGCAGGACCCTATCTATGGTGAGCTCCTTAAGAAAGTCAAGGAGGCCCTAGAGACCGAGCCGAACTACCGCACTACTGAAGGGTTGCTTTTTGAGAAGACTAATGTTTTTGACCGATTGTGCATCCCCAATAGCGAAGAGATCCGGAGGGTCATTTTGGTTTGCAAAAGACCTTAGCCAATCTGATGCGCGCGTATACCTGTCCAGGGATGAAAAATGACTGCGTAGAGTATTTTCGCAGTTGTAAGGTCTGCCAGCGTAACAAGTCTTCTACGCGTGCCCCGTTAGGTCTTCTCAGACCCTTGCCCATTCCGGATCAGTCGAGAGACTCAGTGTCAATAGATTTCATGAACACTCAAGTCAAGAGCAGGCATGGCAAGAGCCAAGTCATGGTCATAGTTGACCGCTTTAGCAAGTACGCAGTTTTTGTTCCTTTGCCTTYTGAGGCRCGTACTGATTTAGTCATACAGAGGTTCTTTGACTGTTGGGTTAGTGAGAATGGAATCCTGCTGTCTATAGTTAGCGATAGAGATAGTCGCTTTACTAGCCAGAACTGGCAAGAACTCATGGGAGTAAACGGATCTAAGTTGTTGATGTCGTCCGGCCGCCATCCAGAGACTAACGGTCAGACAGAGCAAATGAACAAGATCTTGCAGCAAGTTTTGCGTATGTATATTAGGCCAGATCAGATTAACTGGGATGAGATGTTGCCTAAAGTAGCTAGTGCGTACAATAACAGCGTGCATTTAGCCACCTGCCGCACTCCCAACGAACTGCACAAGTCCTTTAGACCGCGCAGACCGTTTGAGGGACTCAACCGGGA